ATCGAAAAAAAGTTGACCGACATGGTGCTTCCAATTGATTGTCTTCAAAGGGTAACATTGTCGCTTATACTCACTTTAATAAATGTACCAGTGGTACACATGCTCTTGCCTCTATTTCCATCACAGGATCATCAGAATTGATAGTAGATTTTGATGCATCTCGACATGTGACAGGTACTGGTAGAGAGTTTTTTTCCTATCCTCTCCTAGTAATATCAGAGAGCATCTAGACTGCTGACGGTACAAGACAAACTGCACTTGGTAAGGGTACAATGAAAGGAACTAATTATATGACTTTGTCCAATGTTTTGTATGCATCTTATTTTTTTGTGAACCTTTTATCCATTAGTGTCATTATTTTTCAACTAAAGTGTGTTGTTTCTTTTGATATCCCTAAGATGACCTTCTAAGAGAAAGGGATGAGCCAGACGCTTGGACTGAAACTTGGCGTAATGGACTCTGGTATTTGGATTGGGAGGGGATGGACTCAACATAGACATCAATCATAGACAGTTCTGTGAGGAGTGTGGATGATATGTTGCTCCTACATCTCAGACGCATGCGGCACTCTTGTTTTAATTTATTGAGCCGGTTGTGTCCTTCTTTAAATGAAAAGATAAATAAATAAAAACTTGTTTGTGATGCTTAGTTTGACAGACTTACTATGAGCTCTTATATTAGTTCTGAGAATAGGAGTTCTGGTGTTTTTGACTTTATACATTCTGATGTTTGGGTACGTTCTACAAGTTCTACGAAGGATTATCGATATTTTATGACTTTTATGGATTATTTTTATTGTGTTACTTGGTTGTATTTGATGAAAAATAAGGGCGACATGTTTTCTTGCTTAAAGACTTCCATAGGGCAATCCAAACTCAATATGGTGCATTAGTGAAGGTATTGAGATTTAATAATGTGAGATATTATACCAACAAAGTATTTGAGAATACTTGTCAACCCAGGGTATACAACATTAAACCAAATGTCCATATACACCGACAAAAAATGGAGTAATAAAAAGGAAAAATAGACACTTTCTAGAGGTTGCCCGAAGTATGATTATCACAATGAATGTCCCAAAGTAATTCTGGGGGCATACAACTTGACAACCGTTCAAGTGATCAACAGGATGTCATCGAGGTTGTTGTATTGGAGGTCTCTTTGTCAGATGATGCTTTGGAATTCTCTTGTCAGATGTTGAAAAGAAATAATAGCGGGATCCTCCCATTGAAGTTGTTTGGATGTGTATGTTTTTTGAAGAATAATAGAAAATTAGTAGAGAAGTTGGATCCCAGAGCTATGAAATATATGTTTGTTGGTCCTTCTGTTATCCAGAAGGGATATGTCTGTTGGAGCCTGATAAAGAAGAGATTATTTGTGAGTAGGGATGTGTCATTTAGATAATTTAAACTGTACTACACCCAGGAGGTGACCTCACCTTTTGGTGAATCGTCAGATACTGAAGATATAAGGCAAGGTGGGGTGAGTAGCATTAGTGAGACAGCTGTACACGTGAGAGTAATGCATTATCTTGTGATGTGAGAGGAATCAGTTGAAAAACCAGAAAATTAGAAGAGTGAACTTAGAAGTGGTGATAATTAGGCTGAATATGAGCTAAGGATGTATACACAAATAATAAAGCATAATGAGGGAACAGTATCTACAGTGCCACTTATCCCGGTTGTTAGGACCTTTTAATAGCAAATTTTTAAATTGAAATCTAATGTTATGCCTTGATGCTCACCAATTCAATATTTGTCTTTTTGTTGGGACTTTTCAAAGACAGATTCCCATATTGAGAATCATAGATCATGCCTTGATGATAATCACACAATTTTATTATTTTATTATTCCGATGCTCACCAAATGGTATTTACTCATTCTTCAAGTGATTGCATTATTTATATTTTGTCAATTTTAAAGCAGCTATTATAGTTAATAAATTTATTACTAATCAAAGATGGAAATGAAGCCTTCTCTCTGAGAATTCACAACCGCACTCAAGACTATTCTCTGCATTATATTTTTATTTTGGAAGAAAGCTTTGAAGGTTCGAATCTTTGTAAGACAGATTGAATTGTACTACCAGCGATTTCGCGACTTCTTAAGTTTTCCTGTAGTTTCCTCGCTCCCGGGAGAGCACTTTTGATTAAGGCTGGTGATTGAGAATTGACTATCAGGATTCGCAGCAATAGGAGAGGCGTTCGAGTGGAGCTGGGGCAGTGCTGGGAGGGGCTTGCAGCGAAGCAGGACATATGCATGGCTTCTCCATCTGCCTCCATGATTTCGGATAGGAGCACTGCAGAAAAAGAAGAAAGATGGGGGAGCACTTTCGCGACTTCTTAAGTTTTCCTGTAGTCTCCTCGCTCCGGGAGAGCACTTTTGATTAAGGCTGGTGATTGAGAATTGACTATCAGGATTCGCGGCAATAGGAGAGGCGTTCGAGTGGAGCTGGGGCAGTGCTGGGAGGGGCTTGCAGCGAAGCAGGACATATGCATGGCTTCTCCATCTGCCTCCATGATTTCGGATAGGAGCACTGCAGAAAAAGAAGAAAGATGGGGGTTTGGGGTCTCTATACCGTGATCCCGTCGTTGCCTTCCCAACTTGCGACAAGCAAGGGTCTCGGCCTCTCTGGGTGTGCCACAGGGAGAAAGAGGCGTGCGAAAGGAGAAATGACGGGAATTTCGGAGGTTTTGTGCGCATCGATCTCATCCTTGCCTTTCCCGATAGCCCTAATTGCAATAGTATTCTGAAGGCATGGAGGAAGAATAGGCGAAAGACAAGATTTTCGAAGCTCCTTGCGCACTGCCATCCCGTTGTTGTTTTTCCCATTGGCCGGGTCGTGAAGACATGCGATCAGGGAAGAAGCATTAAACTGTGATGTACTTTGAATTGGAATTGGGTAGAAGAAGGAAGATCAGCCTTCGTCTCAGTTTTGTGAAGTGAACCAGGCCTTCACCTGGTATCTCTGGAGCAAAAGTGAGGAATTTCAGAGGTTTCTGTACGCTACACTCCCGTCGTTGCTTTTCGTTGCCTCTATATTGCTCGAACAGGAGAGGAAGATAAGAACTTCAGTTCGAACCAGAAGGGGTTTTGAACCCGTGAGAGATGTTTCGGCCTCTCTATAATGGCCCTCCTGGGCGAATGAATAAAGTGGGATCAGATAACTGGATATTGAAGCGGGTGTAGTTATTTGGTGACTCGGCGGGAGAGAGATTTTTTTTTTTTGATTGTTACCTCTTCTTTTTTCTTTCTTACTTTATTTTATATTTTCTTATTTCATTTTATTTAAGGGAACATATGTGCTGGTTAAGATTAAGAAACAGCTGAACCCTAAACCCTAAACAATGTCATTTAACTTGTATACGTGCTTTTTGTTAAATGACAATCGAGTTCATCCTCTTCTTTAAGCCCAAACTTACAATCATCTTTCATGCCTTCAAAAGTAGGACTTCTTCCTATTGTATGCCCCACATTTGAAGTATAATGAAGAACATGTAAGACAATAGAGGAGTGTAGAAAGTAAAGCTTAACCACACCATGGAGTTTATTATGACTTTCAGTGTGCATTTTATTATGATTTTCAGTGCGCACCAACTGCATTCACTTTTCTTCTCTGGAAATTTTTTTTAAAGGAACCAAAGTAGTGTAATGTCAAATATCGAATGAAACCCAAGTTTATTATGACTTTCAGTGTGCACCAACTGCATTCACTTTTCTTGTCTGGAAATTTTTTTTAAAGGAACAAAAGTAGTGTAATGTCAAATATCGAATGAAACCCAAGGTTATATTCCATAAAGTATGCTAACTACATACAAGGCTTCAGTTATTTCGTTTTAAATATTAAAAATTAATTTTAAATACTTTTATTAAAATCAAGGTAGTGAATAGAGCTGTCAAAAAAGCTCGTTGTTTGCGAACAACTCGTGTTCGGCTCGTTCGTTAAGTATACAAGCAGAACACGAACAAATTTTTAAAGCTCGAATTATAAACGAGCCGAACACGAACAACTCTTTGTTCGCTCGTGTTCGGCTCGTTTTAGCTCGAACTAAAAAATTTTATATAATTTTTTATATAACAATATATTATATATATTATTTATATAATAATATATTATATATATTTATGACTAAATTTAAATCATAATGCCTCATGTAGCAATGTGGTTAGCGTCTTCTTTTGTATAGATTTGATCCAGGTTCGAATCCCACACATTACATCTATTTTTCTCAATTTTAGATTAAAGAGCCAATTTCAAGCCGAACACGAGCCGGACACGAACACAAATATTTAAATCGAGCCGAACACGAACACACTGTTCACGAGCCGATTTCGAACACTAGCCGATGAATAATTTAGATTTTGTTTTTGAAGATGATAATATCAATCTTTTAGTTTGAAGGAGAATGGCAATTCAAATATGAGATAAGTTTATATGTAGATGCCTATCTGTGGGTGGGTGGTTGGAGTGGCAAGTATCTGTGTGAACAAGGATTCTGAGGGATGACACGAAATAATTGGGATCTGGCAGCTGCTGCTGCCTTAAATGGGGGGTACGATTTCATATCCAATTTACAGAAGTTTCATTTGGTAAGCTTTCAAATTGTGGTAATCAAAATTTCCTTTTTTTTTTGCTCATGTTTTATTTGTCTCCACTCTTTTTTTGTTGGATGACTAGCTCTCATCATTTTCATTGAGCATTATTACATGGAAACGGGCATATAGAGTAACATCATGTTGTTATTTTCTAGTTTATTTCCTTGGTACTTTTTTTTTTGCTTCTGTTAAATCTAAATGGTGATGACTCATTTTCTTTCTAGTTTTCCCTTAGCGAGATGCAACTTGTGCTCTACTTACATTAATTGAATCTTCTAGTTAGTTTACGTTTCATTTGTTTCTCTTAGCGAGATGCAACTTGTGCTCTACTTACATTAATTGAATGGAGCCTGCAAATATGAATCATCTATTTTCTAGGCCTTTTTACAAGTGTTCATGTACAGGTGGATGTAAAACGAAGTGTAGAAGATGGGGAGAAACGATTTAATCAACTTTCGATTGAGGAAAGGGGTAAGTTTGATGAGGAGACACTTGTAAATGTAAACAATATTAAGAGGCAAAGAACAGCAAGCTATAGTTCCAGGTCTTTCAGCAACGAGTACATTGTGGTAAGTTGATTTATTCTATAAGAAATGGGTCATGAAATTGCAGAGATGCTTTTGTTTTTTCTTTTCTAAAACTCCATAGTTATTAATTTTCTTGTCACAAATATGTCACGATTACTTTATTTGTTTCTAAATATTGGGTGTTACTCCTGTCTGTTGATGCGTGTTAATATATACTTTGGTGTTTGTTAAACTGTATGGAAGAAACTGTTCTTTGAAAGAAATCAACAAAATTTTTTAAACTCTTGGCATTACAACTCTGATTATTAATAAAATATTTTAATGAATGTCACTTTTTTCTTGCATCACCTTATTAACGAAAGCCAAAATTTTGTTGAACTAGAATTTCAGATTAGAAATCTTTTGAATGGGATGTTATATGATCTAGGCTTTTCTAATATAGATCTAGGATGAGATGCACATTTCCAACCACACAAGTTAATTTTAGAAATTATAATCTTCTAATTGAAACAACTAATCATTCTTTCAATTCAAAATAAAACCTATGTAAATTCCACTTGAATGATAATTTCATAGTTGTTTAATAGAATTCTCAAATAAAAGTTTTGGATCATAAAAAGAATCATACAATTGAAAAAAATAGACTGTATTAGATTTTAAAGTAATTAACTATGCAAGTAGACCTAAATTAGAGGATGGAAATAAATCGAAGGGAAAAAAAAATTGGAAAATTTGTTGTCTCCAATTATTTCAATCTAGAAAGAATTACATTTAACCAGCATTTAAGGAAAGGAAAAATAACATGCCATCAAAAGTGCAATATCAATGACAATTAATTTTTTACATGCCTTGGACGCCACTATTTCTAATAAAAAATCTTCTGAAGTTATGATATTAGAAACTATGGTCAGAAGGATAAGAGTTATTGAAAAACCACAAAATTAGTCATTGCAAAAAAAAAAAAAAAAAAAATCATGGAATCCGATAGAAATTGCGTAGCTAAGAATTATGAGAAAGTTACAAACTAGCTACACTATCCAAAATTTCCTAGCAGAAGGTTTTGTTTAAAAATAGATTTTTAAATCTTACCTGGTGCAAAGGGAGTCGCCAGCTGCTTCATGAACACAAGTCGCAAGCTAATACGGAGTGGATATCAAATCAATTTGTCAACAAGGAATCAAGCTAAAACCAATGCACCGATAAGAGTCAAAAAGACATAGAAGCATGCGCTGGAACAAACTCAAAACCAACACAATAAACTAAATTGTACTAGGGGAAAGATTTAGGATATTAGTTAACTTGTCATAAACATAATCACAAAGGAAAACTAAATGTGAAATTCAATAAACTACTAAACTCATTTTAGTAAACGTAGTTTTCAAATTGACTAAAAATTTTAAGTGTGCATTAAATTTGTTTTGGTTGAATAAACTTTGATTTGATAAATCATATTCATCAAGTAAATTTAGGTATCAATGTTGTGTTTTTTGTTGTATAATCCATAAATCATATCTACCAGAATGTCATGCAACTGCACAACATGCTTTTGGTATCCATATTGCCACTTTAGTAGTGGGTGTAATTTCATCATCTTATGTCCACTTCAGGCATAAGATGCAAACGAGTGTGAGAAAGTGTGCGATGTGAATTCCAGAGGATGATGTGAAAAGAGAGAAGAATCCAAGACATTAGTGACTGGCTCATAATATAAAATAAAATGAAATAAATTTAAAAACACGAAGAACATACATTGCTTGATTTTATATATTCATGCTTTTCTATTAGTTAATTGTTTAAAAGATCTTCTAGTAAGGCTTTGAGAATTTATATAGGCCATTTTCTTATCATCTAAGTTTAATTTCAAATCCCCTATTCACATAAATAATTGACTTATATTTTTTATAATTAATAACTAAACTTTTGTTAATATTTTCTTACATGTTATGCACATACTATGCTAATAGTATGCAAATTTACTAGGCCTAGACTAAATAATAGATCAACAAGGTCTATATGTTTTTTAGGTTAAATATTATGTCTATTTCAAATGAACTCATTTCTATACATCTATTTACAGAGGAATTATGTGAAATTAGCTAAATGCATTTAAAAGTTCTAACTAGATGTATTTTCCATAATCAAACATCAAAACATCACTCATAACTTTCATTAACTACTGCTAATCGCCTAACAAAATATTGGTGATATGCTGTTAATAATTTTAATTGAGTTTTCAGCTTTTTTCATTAAGATTCTCAAGAGTAACTCATGAATATGATGCATTTATCACATTGGTTTTAGGTAGGCACTGCAATTGAACATCACTTCATTGAAATATAATTGGTTATGTGTGCACATTAGTAGTTTTATTACCTTGAATAAAATGAGCTATTTTAAAAATTTAATCAACTATAGCCAAGATGGACTTACGTTTCCTAAAAATTGAGTGGTATTCCTAGCATAGAGTCCATGATCTCATTTAAAGCTTATAAGGAATAGTTAAAGGTGTGTATAATCTGATATTAAATTTGTTTCTTCCTTTAGCAGTTTGATGAATTTTTCATCTTGAAACTATTCACGCAACATCTGTTTTTAAACTTGCCCAATAGTTTTTATTCTCATTCGTAGTTATTGTTTTGTCTAAATCAAAATGTCTAGCATTGATCCAACTTGCAATTCTAGAATAGAAAAGTCTCTTAAAGGTGATTCCTGGATGCATGGATAAGTTTCTTAAAAAAATAGCAATATTTAATTATAAATTATTTATTATGCACAAGTGATTTTTTTGTTTAAGTCATAATATGGTTTCATGAAGTCCTGAAATGTGACATATTGATGCAGTGGAAGCTCATGTGTTACATCTAATTTTAATATTTGTTGTTTTAAGTGCTAGTTGTTATTTAGGATTTATTGACATTTTCATATTTGTGTAAGGTGTCATTTTAAAATCTTATATTTCTATGAATAGGTCTAGTGTCTTGTAATTCAATTACAGTTCATGTTGGAATAAAAATCATTTCTTATTGATTCTTTTGTAGGGATTTATTCTCCTTTCTAATTAGTTATTTTTCCTGTTTTCTTTTCCTCTACTTGTGCATCCCTTCCTCCGAGGTTTGTTTCTATGAATTTCTCAATCATTGTTTGTTTCCTATGAATATCAACAACACCTGCACTTCTGTGTAAATGGAAAATAAAGTCAATTTGAAACTAACACTAGTACTCAAACCAAACCAATGCAAATGTTTGAAACCTATAGAGAATGTAACCCTTCTTATAGGGATCATAGATATGATAAAAATGAAAATTAAGACTAATATTCAAAAAAATTGTTAAAATGGAAACATTTTTTTATTTTTAAATTGTTCATCTCAAAGTACATATTATATATGACGCAGGGCTTTCCTAGCTGAACCGGGCACTGCCTCTTGAGGCTATACTGGTTAAAATAAGAGGAAAATAGGGCCGATCGACCCTAGAAAATAAGGTTGCCGCCCAAATAGGTGGGGTCTCAACTCTCCTAACTATCTATAGTATTTTTGTATGTTTTATGTGTTTAGGGTGTAGTTTTGATTCAGTTTTTTCCTAGCTGAACCGGGCGCTGCCTCTTGAGGCTATACTGGTCAAAATAAGAGGACAATAGGGCCGATTGACCCTAGAAAAAAAGATTGCCGCCCAAATAGGTGGGGTCCCAACTCTCCTAACTATCTATATTATTTTTGGGTGTTTTATGTGTTTAGGGTGTAGTTTTGATTCAGTTTCCTGTCAGCCGTCCTAATATTTCCTTCTAGGGCTGCATTCGAAGACGAGAAGGTGCTCTGGATGTAACTTGTTCTGTGGTAGTGTTTAACTACCCTTCTCTGTTTTCCCAAACTTCAGCCCAGCCGCCTGACCTACTGCAGCTGTTGCTGGAATTGTTCTGCGAACAGTCCTGCTGTTGTCTAGCCGTTGCCTATCTCTTCCAACAATCAATTTCTTGTTTCCACCCCTTTCCAGCCATGTTCCACCTGCCACCACCCTATCGCAACCTTCTTGCCACAGCCCCATACCACAAGCTTGCCGCCACGCACTTTACAGCCACCCACTGCCTTCCTTGCTGCCAGCACCCCTCCTCTGGTTGCCTCTTGACCATCCAACCATCCATAATTACTATTCCCCAACCGCAAAACCACCACCTTCAACCCATGCCCTATGTTGGTGTTTTTGTTGTTTCTTTTATTATTTCTTATTTTAATGTGTGTTTGTTGTAACCCTTATTTGCTTTCAGTAATAAAAGTTATGTATGTATGTATATGTCCGTGTGTGTCTGTTGTGTTTGTGCATGTGTGTGTGTGAGTATGTATATATGTATGTGTGTGTGTGGGGAGAGAGAGAGAGAAAGGATGATAGCATCATTATTTCTTATCTAAAGTGTTAGTTTTCGGCAGTTCATGGCCAAAAAGATAAAAAATCTGTTTGTAATGGTTGAAACCAGTTAATTTTGCTCGAAACTAGTTAGAACGGCTCAGTTTTGGATTGGGACCTCGACAATATCTATAAAAAATGAGTGAAACCTAGTGATTTAGTTTGACTTATTCAAAACAATCAAAACCATTAGAAGCCCCTCTTGATTAGTGATTAGCAGCACGAAGATAGGGTAGCCTTGAGTCTCTTGATTAAGAAGAGTTGCTAGGGACTCAGATGAAAATCATTGCACACGATGAGAAGTACACGTATTGTCAGCTTATAAATGTATTGTAGAAAATATATTGAAGTTATAGGTATGATTAGAATACTATTTTTAGTTGATTTTCGATATCATTCAATGATTTGGAAATTTTACTAGTCCCAAGAAAACAAGAATATCCATCCCACACTGTTCATTCTAGTATGCTTTTGTTTTTTTAATCCATTTTACTTCTCGTCAGTTATATGCCCATCTAAATTGTGATTATTCTATTTTACTTTGTTCCCTTTTCTAGATAACCATCCTTGTGGCTGCTGAGGGACTGCACAAGCTACCCGTCATCAACAGTAGTGCAGATTTAATGGTGGCGTTACAGAAGTTGGGCTCTATTCCTGTCAACAAAACTATGGTATAACACTAATAAAACATATTAACATTATTTCCATTGTCATTGGACAATAAAAATGGATAATTCTCCCCTATAGCTTTCTTGTTTTGGTGAATAAGGACTTAATTTTGAGACCGTAAATATGGATTACTTGTTTGCCTGCTCTGCATTCAAAAGAAACCAACTTTTACATGCATGCCAGAGTCTGAAATCATAGCATACATGTTTGAATCTTTTTAAATTTTGATATTGCTATAGTTTATTATAAAACTCTTGTATTATTATGCAGAGTTTTCATATCTGGATTCCATGAAACTTTGACATTTATATGAAGCTATGTTTTCCTTATTTACAAAAAAAAAACTTTTTTATTGAAGTTCTAAAATTTAAATTCTTTTTTAAAAAAATCTTTTAACTATAGGGATTTTTATACAATTATACATTTGATTTTGACATCATTGAAACTGCAGGCAGTGGAGGTTTTGTGGACACCACAGAATGAAGACGACACGCTATCAGAGCGTGAACTCCTGGAAGACTACCCGCTTTTGAGGCCTTTGTAAGAAAGCAATGAAATCCTGTACAGATGCACCGGAAAATTCTCAAACATTATATATATATTGTGAAAATGGCTGCTGTCAAAAGTTTAAGGTACAAATGATTTCTCAATTTTACCCTTATCTGCTCTACTATTTACATGCAAGTAACTTCCACGAAACCATATGTCCATTTGAGAAGAAAGCCAGATAGAACTGTAGTGTTTTTCTTACCTGTAACTCTGTAAATTATGCTTTTTTATTTCTCAAGTAACCTGCTAGCTAATTTAGGAATTTCTTGGTGATTGATTATACATGTGAATCTTCATAATAGGGAACTAATTTTACAAAGGAATTTTCATATTTCTATTCTTCTTTCTTGTGAACCCGTCAATAGAAGCATGCTCTTGATTTCTTCCTGGACTGTTAGAGCTAAAAATTCTATGTTCTACCTTTAAAGGGAGAAATTATTGCATCTCTGCATGCGGTGTCCGATCATGACCTTAGATCACGGTGATTAACGGTCAGGATTATTTCCGTTTTTTTTTAAATTTAGGTGGGGCCCACCGAAATACATCGGGACTGTAGATCAGGTGATTTACGGTCCGGATCGGACACTGCACGCAAGCTGCTTGCGGTGTCCGATCCGTATGGAATAATTTTTCATACCGTAAATCACCGTGATCTAAGGTCAGGATCTGACACCGCACGCAGAGATGCATGCGGTGTCCGTGCGCAATAATTTCTCCTTTTAGAGAAATTATTGCGACGGACTAGAGAAATTATTGCGCACCGGTGTCCGATCCTGACAGTAGATCACGGTGATTTATGGTCATGATTATTTTCGTAAAATCTTAATTAGGGAATTTACAAACATACCACACAATTCTTATGTATTTACATATTTAGATGCATATCACTCAAATCTTTGACACCGCGTAAAAATTACCACGGTCATTTCCCTTTTGAACAGTGAAATATACATTTTCATGCATAGACTTATGACTCAAGGTGTCATAAGTATAAATATCAAAATTTTGGGTGTTAGATATGCAAACACATTAGAAATGCGGTTTGTTTGTAAATTTCAAGTTTTTATTTAATCATGGAAAGTGAAAACTGGATTAAACGCAGTTTGATTTTGGTTTGGAGTCTTTTCAGCTTTTGTTTGTTTTAACAGCTTTAGTGTTTCAGTTTCGATTCCGTTTAGAGAAAGAAGATTTGAATATTATATCATTGAAATGTTTTTTTTTTTTTCTTTTGTGGCAATTACATACAGGCCACTCTGAAACTTGCTATTTACAAATCAACCACCCTCTTTCATCCATTTTTCATATTCTCACTCAAATATCAAATTACATCATAAAACCCCAACCCATATTTTACATTTTTTATCACATTCTCTATAGTTCGATCATGGCATGCGTGAATTCATGGGTTTGGTAGTTTGAAAAAATCACCGGGATGGTTAATTTGTAAATATCAATGTTTCGAGTGGTTTGTATGTAATTATCTCTTTTCCAAAGTGTAAAATAGAAAATTTTCTGAATTTCTTATGGACGTACTGTGGAAGGTCGGAATCATAAATTGCGCCTTTAGTGCTCTCCCAATCATCAGCATTTTTAAAATCCACAGAGGGGGAGAGAAATGTGTTTGGATGGCATTTGCATTTAGGGCTGTCAAAATGGCTTGTTGTCTGTGAACAGCTCGTGTTCGACTCGTTAAAAAACTCATGTTCGGCTTATTCGATAAGTTATCGAGCGAAACACGAACAACTAGAACAAATATTTAATCGTTCGTATTCGGCTTGTTTTGAGTCGAAATACTACTAATCAATTATATATATCTTTGATGAGTAGTATTTTTTAAAAAATTAATTGACTACAAGTCTACAAAGATTTATAATCAATTAATAGTATTAATTAAGAAAATAGATTAAAAATTAATAAATTAGACTCAAATGATGTTTTAAATCTTGCCCCAATCCTTAACATCTTATGACTACGTGATTCGGGTTGTCAAAACGACTCTTTGTTTGTGAACGACTTGTGTTCAGCTCGCTAAGCAAACTAGCCGAACACGAATACACTTTTTGAGCTCGAAATATAAGTGAATCGAACACAAGCTGAGCGCGGGCTCGATCGTGTTCGCCTCGTTTACACCCCTATTTGCATTCATTTAAACGAAGGCTTGTCTCACGTTTTGAACTTTCTATTTCTACACGTGGGCTTTTAAATTGATGGGCTGTTTACGCGTTTTGAACTTAAAAAAAGCAAAAAAAAAAAAAAAATTCACAATTATTATTCCTGACATGATCGCAGGTACAAAACCAACATGGACTCTAAAGTCTACATATTTTTTTTTTAGAAAATTATGTGATGAGAATTTATTTTTCGATATTTAATGGGGTTTTATAAAACTATCATTTAAAATATTGATTATAACTGACCCTTTGTTCGTGAACGGCTCGTGTTCGGCTCGCTAAGCAAACGAGCCAAACACGAAGATACTTTTTGAGATCGAAATATAAACGATCTGTGCTACCGAACACAAGTCGAGCACGGGCTTGCCCATATTTGCATTCATTTAAACTTTCTATTTCTAAACGTGGGCTTTTAAATTGATGGGCTGTTTACACGTTTTGAACTTAAAAAAAGGAAAAAAAAAATTCACAATTATTATTCCTGACATGATCGCGGGAATAATAATGTGGTGAGAATTTATTTTTCGATATTTAATGGGTTTTTATAAAACTATCATTTAAAATATTGATTATAACATTTTAACGGTCTAAAATTTAAATAATATTTTAATTACATAAAAATTTAAATAATATTTTAATCACTCAAGATTTGTAATAAATGAAGTGATTAAAATGTTACATTTAAAGTTTGTGTGATTAAAATACATATTTATTGTTTTGAATTATTTGACATGTAAAAACTCTTTTAATTATATAATTTATTATTAATAATATTTTTATAATTAATTATTTATTACATATTTATTTTATTAATTAACCTAATTTTATAATTAATATATCATTAGTCGTTGCAGTGAATTCATCTTATTTTTAACTTTAATTAATCTATCATTATAAAAGAGTATGATATCTATTTATCAATCATATAGTATCATATATCCTTAATATTAATTTTATTAATTAACCTAGTTTTACATGAAACGTTCTTAAAATTTTTTATTTTTTTTTTTTTAAAAAATTTTTTTTTTTTTTTTTGATATTTTAAAACCTAGTTTTACATGAAATGTTCTTAAAATTTTTTATTTTTTTTTAAAAATACTTTATTTATTATTTGTGAATATGCAAATAGTTTTAATTATTTTTTTTTCTTATTTCTTTATTTTGATGAATTAATTTGTTAGTATTTTTTGTATTATTTGATTGTAAGAAAGTTTGTTTATAACTTATATATTATCATTTTTAGTTGTTGTGAAGAAATTTGAGAGCAATTCAAAATTGTTTCAATTATTTGTTAGTTTAGATTTGTAAAATTATTTGTTAATAAATTTAAATGAAAAGCTAGGTACTTTTTTGAGTCTTAGCTTGTTTATGAACATATTCAGTTAATGTTGACAAATCAAACACAAACTAAGTGGTTTTTTTTTAAGAAAAAATTTAAACAAACCAAATATGAATTTACATGTGCAACTCGGCCCAAGCCTGCAATATCACTTAAATTAATATTCCCCCCCCCCAGGTGTTCTCGTGTAAAATGATAGTTCACCTGATATGTTTAGTCCTTACGTGAAATACTGGGTTGTGTGCAAGAGCAATTGTTGAGGTGGTGTTGTTGTAAATAGGAGTCAAGGGAAGAGATGTAGATGTGAGTTCAGAAAGGAGTCGTCGAATTCATATAATTTTTGTGGTTATCGGAGCAATGGCCTGTTATTTCGCTTCATTATTGGATTTAGCTACGACAATTTGCTTTTTAGCAGACCAAGATATAAGTGTAGATCTGAGATATATACAAAACATATTGTGGATTTCCTGTCATTTTGATCTCCCGTCCAATCAGCGTCTACATATGCCTGCAAATTAAGAGGGCCTTTCTGAATAGGAAGACTACAGTTAGTTGTTTCGTTACGATATCTTAAGATGCGTTTGAGGTGTTGATTATGTAGGGTGTTAGGTGCATGTTAATTGAGAAAGTTTACTGTGAATGTGATGTCGGGTTGAGTATTGGTGATGTATTGAAGGGATCCTATGGTTTTTCTATGAGCATGAAGATCATAAAGAAGTGGGGGTGTGTTATTGTGATGATAGTGGTGTTGAGGTAATGGTGTCATGACTGGTTTGGAATTACCCATTCCAGTAAATTTGAGGGAGAAAGTAACCATTGGAAGTATGGTTAACTTGTGAGCCTGGAAAATGAGAGATGTTGCCAAGGAGTTTGAATTGTTGATTGAGCTGATTTTTTAATTTATGAATGGCAGGTTTAGAATTATCAGTTATAAGAATATCATCAACGTAAACCAGAAGATATATTCTAATATTCTAATGATGATAAATGATAAGAGATGGGCTAGATTGACTTAGAATGAAATGTTGGGAAATGAGAGATTGACAAAATATGGAATAACATTGTCGTGGTGCTTATTTTAAACCATAAATTGCCTTATGATGAGAAAATTGTTTAGCTGTAAAACTTGGAGGTGATGAAAAGAGATGGGCCAGATTGACTTAGACTGAAATGTTGGGAAATGAGAGATTGACAAAATGTGGAATAACATTGTCATGGTGCTTATTTTAAACCATAAATTGCCTTGTGATGAGAAAATTGTTTAGCTGTAAAACTTGGAGGTTGTTTCATATAGACAATTTCCTCAAGTTTGCCATGAAGAAAGACATTACAAATATCTAATTGATGAATATCTCAGCCTTGATGAGCAACAAGGGTGATAAAAATTATGATAGTGGGAAATTTAGCGACAGGACTGAAGGTTTCAATATTGTCTATGTCGTGTTTTTGAGAACATCCTTGAGCTACTAAATGAGCTTTATAGTGTGATATTTGATTCGGAAAGTACTTTTGGAGCCGAGAATGTGCTGTTTAAGAGGTGGATGAACTAAATCCCAGGCCCCTTATTGTTGTAGGGCCATGAACTCATCTATAATGGCTTGACGCTAGTGAGATTGGGTTTGAGCTTGATGATAGTGGGAACATTGGAGAGAATTTGATGTTGGAGATTTAAGAAGTTTAGTAGGTTTGAGCGATCCTGTTTTGGAATGAGTTATCATATGATGTGAGATGTGAGATTGATGAGAGACTTGA